TATTAATCAAGAGCACGGATTAGTAATAACAATACTACTTTTTATACTACCAGCAGTAATAATAGACAGTTGAGCACACGGCATTTGAGAGAATTTCATTCATAATACTCAGAATACTGAAGCCAAGCCGCAACAAGTTCCCAACCCTCCAAAATGATATGTTGGCTTTTTTGTGAAACTGAACTCCAGCCAGGAGCCCTGCAATGTCATGAAATCTCATGAAAGATTCCTGATCTGCAGCCAGGACTCTGTTTTGGGCAGGCTCTGGAGGCCGGTTCTTGACGCAGAACTCGCAGAGCCTCCAGACAAGCGCAGATGCCCTGTGCACACTCCCGTTGCAACCTGTTCGTGTGACCACTGGCAGACCCGATCGGCTGCACTGGGGTAGCTCCAGAAAATTCAGGCAAGGTTACCTCTAGCGGTGAGCAAATTGCTTCATGCTGATTCTTTGGCGCGGCCTCCCTGGCTGAGGCCCAGAATCTCCCGCACAGCGCCGATCTCCTCTCTCGAAAATCCATCCGTAAGGGCCCTGCTGTCAACCTGCAAGTCTTCATGGAATTAGCCAAAAAGTCGTGTCCGTCCCATGCCCTGATGCCTCCTGGTTTTCGTAAAACGGCCGTTCGCTTGGCACCGACGCAGCGTATCCCAACAAAGGCTTCGAGGAGTCCTTACAGAAGGGGGCCGTCGCCTATGCGACTTCAGGCTTGCTTCCAGGCAGAGAACTCTGCAACACCGCAAGACTACTGCCGCGCAGATACCGTGCAACAAAACAGTTCAATCTGCAAATCTGGTTGGTCCCCGAAAGCAAAAATCAGGGCGCATGGCTGACCGAGCCACTGGACTCAAAGGGTTCTCCTCCGCATCGCTGTCATCCGCTTGTTCCAGCAAGCTTCGCCCGCAACCACTTGGGAAGCGATTGCAGATGTCCTCAGCCAAAGCCACCACAGCCTCTGCGGTGGCGGCTATTGGCACCTCTGTGCTCTGCAGAGCCTCCCAGTGCCCTTCCTCCACAAAGTCTGGCTTCACCAGTGCCTTCTTGGGGAAGTTAAAGAGTCCCGAGCTTGCTCCGCCCGTTCGCATCACCGGCAGCACACAGGCTCCGCGGCGCAGCGCCAAGCGAGCCTGATTGGCAACACCTGGGCCGCCTTCCAGGGCAACATACACGTCTCCCAGCAGGCTGAAGACCTCCTGACAAAAACAAGACACTGCATGGTACGGGATGTGTGCTGAGTGCTGAGTCTTGCTGCGGTCTAGTCTAGTCAAATATCTCCAGCTGTCTGGTCCGTCCTTTCTTTCGGAGATGTTCTGGCCCGCGTTGAGCTCTGTGCCACGCCAACTGCAAGCCTGCCAGGCTCAAGTCGGCGCAGTGTTGGAATAACCGTTTTGGGGGAGCTTTGCTCCATCTACCTCACTGCAAGCAAGCACGTCTTGGCTTATGAGCATATTCCAAACGCCTGCCCCTCAGGCACGACGTTGTGTAGCATCGCTTCGCTGCAATGCTTTGCAAAGGCCTGCTGGATACCTGAGCGACCGCACAACACTGCTGATCCCTGATATTACAGCAGACCTGGGCTCTGAGATTGAACCTTGACGGTTTTGCCTATGAAGCTGCGCGAACATCTAGGTCTCACCCTGCAGCCATGTTACCCGGCATTCCTTCAGGGGCATTGCATCCACTGCAAGATGTTCACATGGAACCAAACTGTTTGTAGGCCCACCGGGCGCCTTTCAGACATCACCTTTATGCCTGCGAGGAGGTGTTGAGACCTCCCAGCCGAAGGTTCAAGAGCTGGATATCTTTGGGTCACTTATCTAAATTCCTTCAGGGCAGTACCTCTCTAAGATTCTAGAAGCATAGTTTCCCGACTTTGAAGCACTAGCTTGGACAGTCCTTCGGTGAAGGCAAACACCTGTCCCGCCAATTTGGAAACCAGGCCCTGCGCAATCTGGCCAGCAAGCTCTTCATTCTCCCTCCTTCCGACAGGGTCTGCTGGGGTTATATTGGGGTTACATTCGGGTAATATTGGGATTATGTTAGGGTTATATTGGGGTTGTATATGAGCAAGAGGCAAAGCTCAGGCAGAAGAAGGCAACGCAAAGGAAAACGTTCGCAAGTTTCGCATGCAGCTTCCCTTGTCGTTCGCTTGCAATCCCAATAAATAATCCCCCTTAAGAAGATAGAATATGGCTTTGGGTATATTACAATAAGATCCCCATATACCCAATATTCTATCTACTTAAGGGGGACTATATCCGTTACTTAAGGGGGACTATATTCCTTGGGTTCCTTAGGGGACCCTGAGACATCCCAATCCCTCCTCTGGATGGCGGTGCCCCCCAGGATACAAATTCGAAGACGTCCATCGGGCAGCTCTTCTGCCAGTCGGGCCACAGCCGCTCGGCTACGCTCCGACATGGAGGGGTTTAGGGTTTAGGGTTTGGGGCTTAGGGTTTGGGGTTTAGGGTTTAGGGTTTGGGGTTTAGGGTTTAGGGCAGCTGGGGTTAGGG